TGCGTCCGTCCACTGCTCCTCTGCGTGCCCCTTTGCCTTCTCCTCCTGAGTCCTCTCTTCCTGCGCTTGCCGACCCTGAGTCGGACTCTCTTCGCGCTGCCAGTCCTACTGTCACGCGTCTGCTTGCTACTGTCGTCACTGACCCCTCTTTTGAGTCCACTGCTGCGTCTGCTCTAGTCGCTGAGCTCGTTGACTTTGCTGCTCGCTGTCGTCTCGACTACGCTGCTGGTCTTGTTGCTGAGTCTGCGTCTGTCTGTCCTCCGTCCGTCGGGGGTGAGTGTGCTCTTGGCACGGACGTCCTAGAGGACAGACAGGAGGAGTTACAGTGTCTAGCGGCTGCTTCACCTCATCTCGCGTCTGTACTGCTTGCCCCTGAGGGAGACCCGGATGCACTAGACATCCCGACTCCGCGTTCTTACGCGGAGGCCGTAGAGGGTCCCTACTCCTCTCAGTGGCAGGCAGCTATGGATGCAGAGATGGCTTCCTGGAAGTCCACAGGCACCTACGTTGACGCAGTTCCCCCTCCTGGGGCGAACATCGTCAGTGGCATGTGGATCTTCCGGGTGAAGCGGCCGCCGGGCTCTCCACCTGTCTTCAAGGCGCGGTACGTTGCTCGTGGCTTCAGTTAGCGGCAGGGAGTTGACTACTTTCAGACCTTCTCTCCCACCCCGAAGATGACCACTCTTCGGGTGCTGCTGCACATAGCCGCTCAGCGCGACTACGAGCTTCACTCTCTCGACTTCAGCACTGCGTTCCTGCAGGGTAGCCTGCACGAGGAGATCTGGCTGCGCCGTCCACCTGGCTTCACTGGGACTTTCCCTCCTGGCACCCAGTGGAGCCTCCGACGGCCAGTCTACGGTCTCCGCCAGGCACCGCGTGAGTGGCACGACACACTGAGGACTACGCTTGCGGCTCTTGGGTTTGCTCCTTCTACTGCTGACCCGTCGCTGTTTCTGCGCACCGACACTTCACTGCCGCCGTTCTACATCCTCGTGTACGTCGACGATTTGGTCTTTGCCACAGCTGACACTGCTGGACTCGCCTACGTGAAGTCCGAACTGCTGAAGAGACACACGTGCACAGACCTGGGTGAACTGCGCAGCTACCTTGGCTTGCAGATCACTCGGGACAGAGCACGCCGCACCATTACCTTGACTCAGTCACACATGGTGCAGCAGGTCCTTCAGCGCTTCGGCTTCACGTACTCCTCGCCTCAGGCCACTCCTCTGCCTACTCGCCACTCACTCTTAGCTCTGCCTTCGGATGAGTCCGTAGAGTCGAGTGGTCCGTATGCAGAGCTTGTTGGCTGCCTCATGTACCTGATGACCTGCACACGACCTGACCTTGCATACCCTCTGAGCATTCTTGCACGCTATGTTGCTCCTGGGAGACACAGACTAGAGCACATGGCTGCAGCGAAGAGGGTATTGCGCTACCTGTGCAGTACGTCGAGCATGGGGCTTGTGCTTGGAGGGCGGAGTCCAGTGGTCCTTACCGGCCACGCGGACGCTTCTTGGGCTGACGACCAGGCTACGCAGCGGTCGTCACAGGGTTACACCTTCAGCCTTGGTTCCGGCTCTGTCTCGTGGCGGTCTACTCGCTCGTCTTCGGTTCTCGGCTCCAGCTGTGAGGCTGAGATCTACGCCGGGGCCATGGCTGCACAGGAGCTTCGCTGGCTCACCTACCTGCTGACTGACCTTGGAGAGCCGCCTCGTTCTCCTCCAGTGCTGTACGTAGACAACAAGGCCATGCTGGCCTTGTGTCGAGAGCAGCGCTTGGAGCACAGAACGAAGCACATTGCTCTCCGCTACTTCCTTGCTCGTGAGCTGCAGCAGCGTGGTCAGTTGCGACTTGCGTACGTGGCCTCTGAGGCCAACACTGCTGATGTGTTCACCAAGGCACTCGCGCCTTGTGACCATCAGCGCTTTTGCACCCAGCTGGGTCTTGTACCTGTCTTGCCTCACTTGCTCTCCTCTTGACTTCACTTGTACTGTGACATATATATATACCTGCTCTTGCTTGTCTAGTTTTATATATATGTCTGTACTCCTGCATGTGAACTGGCCTCTGGCCCTGCTCTTGTGCTCGGACTGTGTGGTGACTTTGTGATCCACCCTGAGCTTGCTTTGCTTTGCTTGACTGGTCTTGTGACCCCTTGTTCTCCCCCACTTTGCCTATGGGGGTGTGTCAAACATTATATATGTTATGCTTGTGTAGGCTACAGTGGGTTAGCCTATAGGGGGTACACAATTCTAGGGTTTCCTACTTGTACTCATTTTCACTGCTAGTTCATCCATTCCTGTTCGCTTATTCTCACATAGACCATTGGGATAAAAGAGCTTGTTTCAGTAGCGGGTCAGTGCGCCCATAACCCTCCAGGCTAACATGCCTGTAACCCCCCCAAGATCATTCGGGGATCTCACAGTGCAGCTCAATTGACAGACATGTCACAACTATATTGTAGGCTGTAGTGGGGCACTCCTTATGGGGTACAGTCTGTTAGGTTTTGCCTGTAGAAACCTTGTACTGTCCTGTTTCTAGTCATTCTCGTTTCCTACTTTGTGATATGACATTCCAACCCTTTAAATTTTGACTGGTCAACGCGCCTAGCCTCGCGTCAACTCGAAAGTCAACGTGCTTCTGCACCGTCTGATCAGTTTCAACCAAGATCTGCAGTTTCCACGCTACTGCAAGACTCGGCTACGTATAAGGGCACCTTATTATGAAGGTGGGAGAGTGCAATGAATATGAATTCATTACTGTAGATGCTACTCCTAAAAAAACAACCCCGAGCACTTTGTGTCAGTTTCGAGGTTCGGAATATACTTCGGCCCGAACCACCTCCGAGTCACCTCGCACTAATCGCGACACTTCCAACCCATCCACGTCCCGAGGTCCTCGCCTAGAACGTTTTCGACCCTATAAATGCTCGCTTCTTTATCATTCTCCACATTCTGTAGTTTTCATCCTTTATACAAAGTCTTGCGCGCACTTTTTTAGTACAACTCATAACAGAAGTGGAACAATGTTACGAGTGCAATTGAGTGAACGAACGAGAATCGCACTATCTAAGCAAGAGTACAATGAGCGAAGGCATGCGCGAAGAAAATATAACGAAACTACAGTGCTAACGGTAATGCGTGAAAATGAAGTTCGCGACGGGCCTGGCGCCGAGGTTGGGAAATGACGAGGCGGAGGACCAGAGCGCGGGTTACCAACCGAACCGTGAGGTAGGGTCGTGTCGTGAACAGTGGCGAGAACAGTCTCGAGGCAAATGTCGTGAGTGGAACAGTGGTGTACGCGCTGAGCGGGGACGCGAAGTGTTTTTCCTTACAAACAACAGCATGCAACACGCCTTATAGCAATCCTTGTTTCTCATACTGCATTGCACTCGGTAACAACATTGACAATAATCTAGCAGCAGTAGTGTGTCAGAATGCAGTATTTGTCTAGCTTGCAGTGGCGTACTCTAAAGCGAGTACATCCCAACTTAGGGTTTGCTATATGCACTCAATTGCTTGCTAGTGCAACCCCTCCTTTCTGCTGCTAAACTTTTGCTTACCTTTCGACATGCTATCAGAGCGCCTCCTTGGCCTGTTGGCTCACCAACCTGCTCCCACTGCTACTCGTTCTGTCGCACGCCCCAGGGCGTGCGATGTATTTTTCCTCTCTGGCGCGCGCCTCGAGGCGCGCGGCCCCTTTTCTTCGTGGCGTGACGGCCCCGCTGGACCTGCGCGCCGCACCCCGTCGACCCTCGCGTCGCCTCAGGGGACCCGCGCGCCGCCCCCGTCGACCCTCGCGTCGCCTCAGGGGACCCGCGCGCCGCCCCCGTCGACCCTCGCGTCGCCTCAGGGGACCCGCGCGCCGCCCCCGTCGACCCTCGCGTCGCCCCCGGGGACCCGCGCGCCGCCCCTAGAGCCGTGCGCGACCCCCCCGCTGCCTCGTCGCGGCTCCCTGGGGAGCCGCGCGCGGCCCCTCGCTGCCCCGTGGTGGCGCCCTGGGGGCCGCGCGTCGTCCCCCTCGCCGTCCCCCGCGCTCCTACCCCGTGTCACCCGTTTTAGGGTTTGGGGGTGGGGAGTGTGGGGGTGGCGGTTGTGGGGGTGCCGGTTGTGTGCGCCGTCCCCTGCTCCTCCTCCTCCTCCGTCTCCCGCTGCTGCAGCTGCCGCTCAGGGGGGTGGGTGTGTGGGAGCCGAAGGAGTGGTGCCAGGGGGGTGTCGTGGGAGTGGAGCTAGGAGTGCAGCAGGGGGTGTGTGATAGGGGCGTGGGGCAGCTGGGGGAGGTTGAGTGGAGGTGGCCGTCGTGTCGCCAACAGCGCCAGTAGTCCGGAGGCTACAATCTCCGGTAGTCGCCAGTCGCCTGTGGGTCAGTTGCTCCAGTCAGGAGGCTACAATCTCCACGGAGCCAGTTACTCCGGTAATCCGGGCCCTTGCTTCGGTAGCCACTGAGCCAACAGCTCCTGTGTGTCTGCAGCTTCAGCAGTCGCCTCCCATCTTCTCGCCCCCACAGTCTCTCCTCCTCCTCACTTGCCCTCTGTTATTCCTATGCATGCTTGTTGTGCTGATTACACCCCACTTTGGCTATGGGGGTGTGTCAGAATGCAGTATTTGTCTAGCCTGCAGTGGGGTACTTTATAGCAAGTACAGCCCAACTTAGGGTTTGCTATATGTACTCAACTGCTTGCTAGTGCAAACCCTCCTTTCTGCTGCTAAGCTTTTGCTTACCTTTCGACATAGTACACACAAGTACCTGTTAGCCGTGGCATTAAACATTTAAATTGTAAGATGGGTTATTGACAGGGTAGCTTAGGTACTAGCAACACTAGCACTCATTGACTGGTAAACTACTTGCTAGGCAAATTACTACCCACTGTGCCCGTATTTCCAGAACGCGCTTAACAACTTATTGGGCTTACATTTACTTGTTTATGTACTTGGCAAAAGTCATTCGCAAGTAGGTAGGTACACTGACTACACTTCTACAATGCAAAACTCAATACTCATTTAGCAAAAGTACACGCAAGTAGGTTTGCAATGGAGAACAAGAACTGAGCGCACAGAATGCCCCTTGTCATCCTTCCACGTAACGCTACCGTACTTGAAATTCCAGAATTTCCTCTTCACCACAGCCTTCACTTTGAAACTGACCCGTTGCCCCGGCGCTATGGTAAACTGTGATGGCACCACTCTGATGCTCACTGCCTTGGGGGCCTTGATCCTCACCCTGTAGGTCGACGTGGTGTCTGAGACGCTCGTCACAGTCCGCCTGGTGGTGATTTTATTAACTAGGTTGACCAGCGAGATAGAAGGCCGGTTTAGGTATCTGGCTGCAACAGGTTTCAGTCTCACCTGCCCGAATGTCTCTCGGGCCATCGTAACATTCAATCCAGCAAGAAAGTTGCAAAAATCTTGCTCCCCAGCATCGTAGGTCAGCCCAGGGTCAAGCGCCCTAGCGGGAAACACATGCCCCGCTCCCATCTGCCACGGCGTTGCCGGCTTGCCGTAAACATTCCGAATCACTCTGTTGCTGCTGTCAGTGCTGCTTGCCGTCGTCATCATTGCAGACATGATCTGCGCAGGCGTCCAATCAGGATGCTGCTGGATGATGAGAGCGGCAACACCGGCAACATGCGCCGCGGCGACAGACGTTTCATTGTAGTAAACTGAAAACGATCCCGTCTCACCGACGGCTGTCCCGGGCGCAGATGCAAGGATATTGACTCCAGGGGCGATGATGTCGGGCTTGAGGATGATGTTGGAGGGGCGGGGCTTCTTCGGACGGCAGACGGTACAGCTCCGCACGGCAACAGGGCCGGTGGAGGACCATTCAGGAACAATGGGGAGGGCGGTGGCTGCAGGGGAGATGGTGGCAGGGAGTCGGGTTCCTTGTTGTGTTGATGCTGCTAGGTCTGTGATGTTTGCTGGAGATCCCGCTTCTGCTGCAGTTGTTGTTGACGTTGAAGTGAGAGAGGCCTGAGGCACGGTACTGCATGGTGGCGGAAAGGAGGGTGTTGGCAAGCAGGGAAAGGAAGGGTGTTGGCAAGAAGGGAAGGGAAGGGAAGGGTGTTGGCAAGCAGGGAAGGGAAGGGTGTTGGCACTGGATGGAGGAGCAGGGAAGGTGTTGATGTGCATGAGATGCAAGGAGATGGAAGACGAGGGAGGAGGTGCAAAAAGAGGGAGGAGAGATGGAAAAAAGGCATGAACCAAGGAAGAAGGGATGAAAGGATAATGCAAAGCTGCAGTATGGGGAACAAACAACCTTCTACGCGGGAAAAAAACTACCACTGCCACTCCCTAGCAAGAGCTCCCCATTCTCACCTTGCCCCCACGCTGATATAGTAGGGTGCAAAGTTGTCAATGGCAGGGTGGGAATGGTACAGGTAACGGTAATAGGGCCTCCCGTCATCGCCCACTGCTAAGGCCACAGTCACTCCGGCCTGGAAAAGGGAGGGGGAAGGGAGAGAGTATATTTTTCAGGTGCTCCAGAATCTCGCAACAGTCACTCCGGCTTGAAGGAGGGTGAGAGGGAAACACAGGCAAGAGGAGGTGGTGAAAGGGTGAAGGGCAGGCCTCGGTGCAAGGAGTTTAGAGGCGCTGAAAAGGGTTTAAAGGGTTTGAGCCACAGCAACTCAGATGTGGATGAAGGGAGGGAGGGAGGGAGGGAGGGAGGGAGGGAGGGATTAGAGGAGGGAGGTTAGAGGAGGGGGGAAGGGATTAGAGAGAGTAGAAGCACAAGGAAAACGAGGGAAGAAAGAGAGGGATTGCTGACAAAGCTCTTTTGAGGAACCCTAACGAGACAACTGGCTGACATGGGATGGGGTTCTGATCACATTCTGTACCAGTGTATGATTGGGTGATGCACCCACCACATTGGCAGGGATACGCATGAGTGTAATAAACGAAACACCTGGATCAACCAGCAAAGCCACTCCCTACGCGCATGCACTTCATAACCACAGGATGCCCCTCACACCCACCGCACGCCCCTCACACCCACCGCAAGAGCGCCGATGAAAGGCACGTCGTCAAAGTAGGTCCACTTCTCGTTGTGCCAATCATCCTCGTCCAAGTTTCTGTTCGTGTTGTCCAGGGACAACGTGAGCACATCCACACCGTCCGCCACGGCCTGATCAACGGCTGCAAATACATCTGCGTCGGTAGTAATCGACTCGCCAGAGCCTAGATCCCAGTAGACCCTGTAGATGGCCAGGCGTGCCTTGGGAGCCACGCCACTGATGGTGCCTCCGCCAGGCACCTCCACGCCGCTGTTGCCCGCTGCCGCTCTGAGAGTGGAGATGCGTGGGACAGGGGAGGGGTGGTTATGGAGGGAATGACCTTGCCACGCCATGCACATGCGCTTCTTCCTTCCCCTGTCTGCCAAACCACTTTGAACACACGCAATGCCATCCCATCCCATGCAATGACATGCCATGCCATGCCATGCCATGCCGTCCCATCCCATCCCATCCCATCCCATCCCATCCCATCCCGTCCCATCCCATCCCATCCCATCCCATCCCATCCCATCCCATCCCATGCCATGCCGTCCCATCCCATGCCATGGCATAGTGTGTTTATGGGACTCACCACACGGTCCTAACTTCCTGCACTCACCCGGCACACCACGTGCCATGGCCATCAGAATCGCGCGGGGAGGCCCACTCGTCGTCATGTAGGCCGTGTCCTCCATATTCGCTCTCAAGCCCCGCGCGAAAGATGCCCCCTCCGATGATCTTGTTGTTACAAGCGAAGTCGCTTGTAGTGGGACACGTGCCCGTCCACCCGGCAGGGAGCGTGCTGCTGTAGCCCTGGTGGGGGGGAGGATGTGGGGTGCACGGGGGTAGCTAAGCTGGAAAAAGTGCTGGTTTGCTGTATCGGGACCGAGAGGCAAAAACGAAAGGACGAGGAATTCAAAGGGTGGGGCACAGGCGGAGAGAGAGGAGCAGCAGCAGCAGCAGAAACCCATAAGGTGAAGAGCGATGCTCGGATGTGATCGTACGGTGTCGTCAAAGGAGGGGTGCTCCGGCCACACGCCGCTGTCCAGAATTCCAATCACCGTGCCTTCGCCGTCACTCGACACTCCAGCCGGAGTGGCAGCAGCAGCAGCGGCAGCAGCAGAAGTGGCAGCAGCAGAAGTGGCAGCAGCAGCAGCGGGAGCGGCAACATCAGCAGTGCGGGCATGTGGCAGGTTGAGAGACTTGTGCCCGTCGGCGGCGGCAGTGACGGCGCGGCGGCGTGTGATGGTGCGAGAGAGTGTGACGGACGCCACAGAGGGGTGCCGCCTCATGCGCTGCACCTGCGCTGCCGTGAGGGCCGCCGAGAAGCCGTTGTCTGTGTGCACGTAGCTGAGGGGGGAGGGAAAGCGTACAAGGGGGGGGGGAGCATAGGGGGAGGGAAAGCGTACAAGGGAGGGAAAGCGTACAGGGGGAGGGAAAGCGTACAGGGGGAGGGAAAGTGTACAGGGTGGGGGGGGGGGGGAAGAATACAGGGGGAGGGAAAGCGTACAGGGGGAGGGAAACTGTACAGGGGGAGGCGAGGGAAGGAAGGGAGGCAGGCGTGCAGGGGAAGTTGAGAGGGGGCGGGCACGGAGGGCGTGAGGGTCGTTGAGAAGCCATTGGATGCGTGCAACAGCCTTAACACCAGATTTAACACACACGTCCGCTCACCTGTTGAACGTTCTCTAGAGTGTCGCTCACCTGTTACCGCCCTTTGCATGCGCTGCTGCATTACCGCCCTTTCCATGCGCTGCTGCATTACCGCCCTTTGCATGCGCTGCTGCATTACCGCCCTTTGCATGCGCTGCTGCATTACCGCCCTTTGCATGCGCTGCTGCATTACCGCCCTTTGCATGCGCTGCTGCATTACCGCCCTTTGCATGCGCTGCTGCATTACCGCCCTTTGCATGCGCTGCTGCATTACCGCCCTTTGCATGCGCTGCTGCATTACCGCCCTTTGCATGCGCTGCTGCATTACCGCCCTTTGCATGCGCAGCTGCATTACCGCCCTTTGCATGCGCTGCTGCATTACCGCCCTTTGCATGCGCTGCTGCATTACCGCCCTTTGCATGCGCTGCTGCATTACCGCCCTTTGCATGCGCTGCTGCATTACCGCCCTTTGCATGCGCTGCTGCATTACCGCCCTTTGCATGCGCTGCTGCAGCACCACGCTCGCAGCAATGAAGTCCCCAAAACTCTTCTCACCCTCACCTGCATACCATCGTTCCCCTCACCTATAGGCCATCTTCCCCGCGGCCACCCCGCTGTCTCTCAGCACAGCCTGCTGCATGCGCTGCAGCAGCTGCTTGAACGCCCTCACGCCCGGCGCCCTCAAGTTCAACCGCGGCCTTCGCAGCGAACGGTTTGTGCCCCCTGAACCGCTGGTGGCAGCACATCCCAAAATGCGTGGGGTCGGGGTGGCAGCTTTTTTAGGGTTTGCGAGAGAGTAACTCTCCAGAACTTACCCGCAGGTAGCATTTCGGGGTTAGCGGCTCGGGAATCAGTGGGCTGCATCAACTACGAAGTTTCGACCAGATCCTCGCGAGCGATTTTATTGGTCGAACGCTTTCCACCAGATCCACGAAACTTCCTTTGAGACCCTTCGAATGATTTCTATTGGACATTCGATTCGAACCTACTGCTCGGTAAGTTTAGGTTTTCGAAATACTCCTTCCAAGAAGCAGCGGCTTTGAAAAGGTTTGGCACAAATGCAGATACGTGACCCGCACAAGAGCATCTCCGTTCCAGTGTACAGTGATGATTGCTATTGAAATTTCTTGTTCTTATGTGCATGAATTTTGTACACAGCTTATATTGACACCAACATATTCTATTGGGTTGATTTGCATGCGTAACTAAAGCAGTTAAACACTCTGATCTTGTCTTTTGTGATTTTTCAGACGTTAAATTCACTACATAATTATTTCTGCTACTTATATTTAGATGCATTGTTAGGGAATGGTGGAAACAAGGTGGAAACAACCGGGGTAAGGGGGGCAGGGCTATAGACAGTGAGTCGTAATAAATGCGACTACTTTTCCAAATACAACCTGCACTATAGTACCTGGTATAGAGTATCAGAAGCTACCGCACCATCCAGTGAAGCATTTTCATCACCACGCATACGGGTTCAATAGTTTCAGCGTGGTCCTCTTAAAGAGAGGAACTACTTGCTCAGCCCTCAAGATGGCATCAATGTGCACGACGCGATAGGCATCAGCCCTACGACGGCAGGCCAATTTTACGAAGGCTGTATCTTCGTCCTCTCCTCTCACGTCCAGGAGCTTCACGTACGCGAGTGGCTGTTTCTCTATCTCCCGTCCAGCTCTGGTTTGGACATGGAAAAGCATGAGGAGCTGGGCATACACAACATCTGACCCCCCTTGAGTACGGTTACTGACCATACTCCCGTCCAGAGCTACATAGGAAAACCATGGATTCCCATGGAAAGCCACGGTTGCCCTTGCATAGTGAGCATCGTTTAAATCATTCCTTGGGAGTGCAACTGCAGAATGCACCTGCATAGGACGAGAAAGTTTGGGATGGCGAATGCAAAAGTCTCATTCTTCGGGAAATACAAACTTCAACGTCGGCAATATAAAAGTGACAGAGTTTAGAATAACACTGCGCATAATGGTGGTCATGGTAGGTGAGGTGTTTTTCTTACATGGACGATGTCATTTCGAATGCCACGTTCAGCGAGGGCTATTGTGATATCGTTCATGGCGCTGCCGTGTTGCTCCAACAGCCCTTGCCAGAGTTTCTCTGCTTTTCGACCATCAACAACATGTGGAAGTGTCATGGCTGTGCTTGTCGCCGTGAGAACAGGGTTTTTGTTCCTTTCAGCCTGGACGTTGAAATAAAAAGGGATAGGGGAAGTTGCACATGTATGGCATGATGTGTGTTTGTGAAAGTGGCAAGGCATTCCTTGCTGGCCTTACAACCAGCCATGCATGCAATGATGCATGTGTGTGAAATGAATGGCATGGCATTCCTTGCTGGCCTTACAACCAGCCATGCATGCAATGATGCATATGTGTGAAATGAATGGCATGGCATTCCTTGCTGGCCTTACAACCAGCCATGCATGCAATGATGCATGGCTTTGAAACGAATGGCATGGCATTCCTTGCTGGCCTTACAACCAGCCATGCATGCAATGATGCATGGCTGTGAAACGAATGGCATGGCATTCCTTGCTGGCTTTACAACCAGCCATGCATGCAATGATGCATGGCTGTGAAATGAATGGCACGGCATTCCTTGCTGGCCTTACAACCAGCCATTCATGCCATGATGCATGTGTGTGAAATGAATGGCATGGCATTCCTTGCTGGCCTTAAAACCAGCAATGCATGCACTGATGCATGTGTGTGAGATGAATGGCAAGGCATTGCTGGCCTTGCAAGCAGCCATGCATGCAATGATGCATGTGGGTGTAAATGGCAAAGAATGTCTTGCTGGCCTTACCTCCAGCCATGCATGGCATGATGCATGAGAGACGACACGAGCAAGGCATGTCATGCTGGCCTTACCACCAACAACGCATGGGATGATGCATGAGACACGACACGGGCACAGCATTCCATGCTGGCCTAAACACCATCCATGCATGGCAATGATGTGTGAGTGTGAAATGCACTCTAGCTACAAAGATCGCATGCATACATGGGCACCAAAAAGGAAAATGGAGAAGGGGACAGAGGATTGGCGGACACACTGCATGTAGAGGGTTGTGTTTGGTCTCACACCTTCGTTATGGCAGTATCACGTCCTGGCAGGTTGTTGAAAACGGACGGCAAATCCAGCAGTGCGCATCTCATTTCAGACGACCGCATGATGGCATCGTCGTAGTTACGGTAGTTCGATGCGCGGAAAGGTCGTTTGCAGGATGTTGTGTGGGCGTTCTCGAAGAGCTCGGTGCAGTACTCTCCGGGTGCACCAGCACGTCGGACTGCATCAGGGAAGTGGACAAGCTTGTGCACCTTGATAAGAAGCCAGCCATGCCCGGCCCTTGGGAGGTTGGTCCTGAGCAAGCGCACCAACCTGATTTACACACAGAAGTGGGGTGGGAAACAAAGGGGATAGGATGTGGGGTACAGAAGGAAGTGGGTTGGGAAACAATGGGGATAGGATAAGGGGTACAGAAAGAAGTGGGTTGGGAAACAATGGGGAGTGAGGTGAAGAACAGGGGGAAGGGAGTAGGGTAACAGGGGGGAAGTGAGGTGGGCAACATTGGGAAGTGAGGTGGGCAACAGGGGGAAATTTTGAGGGGAACAGGGGGAAGTGAGGTGAGTAACAAAGGGAAGGGAGGGCTTACTCTTTGGTGTCTACGGTGTACTGGCGCAAGAGACTCTCCGGATAGACCGGTGCACGGAAGTATGTGTGAAACCACTTTACGAAAAATCGCAGGACAGCCATCTTGATTGGTGCTTTCAGTAGCCCATCGGACATAATAAGCAAGACCACCTGTTCCATAAACAATACGGGTAGGTTACGTCATTGTGACATCAAATTGCAACTCAATGAAAGGCTCTCAGGACTCAACCATAGAGAACACCAACATTCGCACTCACACACCCGAATCACGGCCGCATGCTCCGCCGCAGAATAGTTGGCTCCTGGATTGAAATAGTGACCGTCAGCGGGTAACTTGTATGAGGAAAACCTCTCCTCCTTCGCTAGGACACCGAGTCGCCTATGATATTTGAAAAACGGGATGGGGGAGGGGGGTTTGGGTGTAGAGGTCCAGGGTGGAGGGATAGAGGGAGGGAGGGGGGAAGGGGACAGGCGGAAGAGGGATAGGGAGGGTGGAAAAGGCATACAGATTGTGGTTGATTAAGTCATCAATATCACATTGCACATAGCAGCAAGACAAACACACCTGTTCATTTCGTTTATGTCTTCACCATGTACCACCTCTTCCAAAATGTAGCGCCACACGCCAGCGAGTACAACATGTAACACATCCAGCATGATAGTCAAGTAGGGGTTGCCCCAAGGGTCGTGGATCTCATGCGCGCGGTTCACATTCCAGAGGAAGCTCTGCAAAACGTGGATGAAAAAAAAAAAAAAAAACATTAATGAGTCCAGTACTGAAACGCACCCTCTCAAGCTCTTACCCTCCAATGCAAGAGAGGTGTGAGTGAGGATGACGGGAGGACGGTATGTCAATCAACCCTACACCCTCCAGTACACAAGAGGTTTGAGTGAGGGTGAGGGGTGGAAGGTAAGCTCTCTGCCCTACACTCTTCGATCCATGGGAGGCACGAGTGAGGCTGAGGAAGGGGCATTCATGTACGTACGGGGATGGGATGTGTTGAATAAGCGGTCCGCCACTCCGTGCTTGCCGTCATGAGCCATTGTTGGTGCTTCACGGTCCGCCATTGAAATGACGCTGGTTCCATGTTTGCAAGGTCATCCTTATGCACGTAACAAACCGAGCAGGGACGATTCGAGGCGTGTTGCATCGTGCTGGTCACACGACTCCCTTCAGGGTAATCGGCAACATACGAGTATAGCTTCGGCCAGACGGTGTAGACATTCCCAAACGGATCTGTTAATGGTAAGGAGCTGGGGAAGCATTAAAACCATGGAGATTGGGGGGTATAAGAAGATTTATGAGAAATGCACTCATGCATGGCAACCTCACTCACTGCCATGCGTGGCAGGATGAGTAAAAGCGTTATGAGCAATGGACCCATGCACGGCAGCCTATGGTTCCCTGACATCATGCGTCAAATGGTGATGAGCAGTCCACCCATACATGGCTGCCCTACTCACTGCCATGCATGGCATGATAAGTCAAATGGTGATGAGCAATGCACCCATACATGGTAGCCAAAATCACTGCCATGCATGGCAAAATGAGTCAAATGGTGAGCCTTACCTTCGCATGACTTCAAACAGGCTTTTGAAAACGATGTCACAAGATCGCTGGAATAGTTCCACACGTTGCCATGGTTCCATTTCAGGGTCGGCGACAGGGAGTAGTGCGACCAATATCCTCCCATGATCCAGCCGGCGCCGTGCTAGTGGGATGTTGGTGAAGGTGAGGTACACCGGCCATGCTTTCAGCCGTTCATTACCGGAGAGAAGCGTCTCATCACTTGAGATGATGATGGGGCAGACCAGCTCCTCGTCTGACATATATTTCTGCAATACAAAGCATGTGAATCGCTAAGTTTTGGACATCCGAAATCTGGTGAGAGCTGAGGAATAAAAGCACTTCATGGCTAACCTGTGCTTCGAGCCAAAAATCAGCCGAGTGTGCTGGCCCGTACACTCTCTCCTCGCCTTTCTTCACTTCGGCTGCCCGATGAATGAACCCCTCACGGTTCTTTGGATCTGACCACAACCGACGCAACGCCTGCAGTACGTAGTAGGCTTGGAAGTGGGATCCATGTGTACAACAACCAAAAACAGTTTAGGGACGTGCCTATGCATGGCATGAGACAAATAGTGATGAGCAATGGACC